GTCTGCTGCACAGCCAGGACAGGCTCTGTCACCGATGCTTTGAGCTGATTCTCCAAATGCACAACCAGAAGCCACATTCATCTTGCTTTGACCCTCTTTCCCCAACCACCCTGACAGCTGGAACTCCAAAGAAGAAATAACTTTGCCAGGCATTTCCACTCCTTGCTGCTTGCCTGGGAGGAGATGGGGACACCAGGGAAGGCGAGACCAGCCTGCCTCATAGGAGCGAGTCATTTCTAGCTGAACACATCCACAAAGTCACTCATCTCCCCACTGCTGCACAGGCTGTGTCTCCCCCGCAGTTCTCATGAGCTTGGTGGCAAAACAAGGCAGAGGGTTCACCCTGCAAGAGCCAGGTACAGGGGCAGGTGTCTGGGTGCTGGCCCATCCCAGCTCCTGCCCATCTCTCCAACTCTCAAGGTGCCCCATCAGGCTCTGCAGGGTCCCTGGCACAAGGGACACCTCACACGATGCCACTGCGTGTGGGGTGAGTTCGTACGCGGTAGATGACGACAGCAGTGGCCGGGCAGAGCAGCAGTGCTGTCATGATGAGGATGGTGGCCAAGACGACCAGGACGATGACCCAGACTTCCAGGACATACCTGGGCATGGTAGTGGGACCTGTGCGGCCAGAGACGTCCATCCTGCAAAGGAGAGGCAAAGGGGTGATGGGGCAGTCCCCTCCATTCCTCATATAGCTAGAACTCCCTATCAGTCTGAGCAACCCACTGCTCTCTCCAGGGACACTCCTGTGGCCAGGTCCAGCTTTCACCTTGAGCTCCTTTGAGAGCCTTTGGTAAAGGCTCCTTTGATTAGCCCCAGGATTTATACGATGCTTTGAATGTGCTGGATAAAAGCCCAGGGAAAAAAATCCCTATTAATTGCTGCCGTTGTTAAAGGAGATGATAAAGCAAAGCCACAACAGGGCATCCCGCTGGTCACTCACCGGTGCGGCATCGCGTAGGAAACGCTGCAGTCGGGTCAGCCGGAGCTCCCTCGCTGCTGGGGAGCCTCGTCCTCCCCCCCTGCCCCTCACCTCGTGCTGAGTCACGGACGTAACAGCTGAACCGGGCGGAGGAACCGGGGAAAAGCGACCCCCC